CACAACAACACCACGTCACCATGTCAGGCTGGGACATAGTCTGCATTCCACGCACTGGGTTGTGTCCCAAATAGCACCCTAGGCCTCTGGTCAAAAGAAGTGCTCTGTAAAGGGAATAGAGTGCAATTTGGAACTGGAGACCCTATGTAGGTCCACAGAGTTTCCTCAACCCTGCCGTTGGTCCTCTTGTCTTGTGGAAAGTTACTGGGTGGGACCTTGATAAGACAGAACATGTGAGTGATCACCAACATTACTTTGAGGACTAAAGATAGTAACAGTAAGAGAAGGTGTAGGTCCCAAATGGCACCCTATTCCCTATAGAGTGCACTACTTTGACCAGGGCCCTGGGGTGCTATTTGGGACACAACCCAGTGCGTGGAATGCAGACTATGGTCAAAGGCAGAGCTCTATATAGGTAACATGTGCCCAAGACAACAGAGTCCCGCCCCGTACACACTCAAGTTGTACAACTGACGTGCAACACATTTGATACAACGGTTGTGATAAAACAGAGAGTTTTTTTTTTTTTTCAGTACAAAAATAACTACACAAGCGTTGTAGTAGATACGCTGCACAATGGTTACGGAAACATGTTTTTGGTGCAGACTTTCCCGTTAAATGAATCACAAAATAATCTGCTGTATCACATTCCAAAAACATTGTGTCAAATGTGTTGTACATCAGTTGTACAGCATGTGTGTATACAGGGCCAAGGAGGTGTTTACCCTGTGTAGACCATAGCGATGCTGTGTGTGTATACAGGGCCAAGGAGGTGTTTACTCTGTGTAGACTATAGCGATGCTGCGATACAGGCAGGCAGCTGGGTAGGTAGACGGACAGGCAGGGCTGTAATGTCTGTGTCAATATTATAAACCTCCGACTCTCCCCAGACATCTGGGGCCCCTAGTAGCTACGATGGTCCCGTACACACTCAGGTTGTATGCATAGGTCATGTGAACACTTTCGTGCGGGCAAACTCTGTTTTATCCCAAACAACATCGGTTGTATCACAACCGTTGTGTCAAATGCGTTGTACAACATGAGTGTGTTCGGGGCCAAGGTGCTTTTTCAAACATCGTGGGCCAGCAGACTGTGTTGTTGGTGAGTGATGTCAAACATCGGGGCCAGCAGACTGTGTTGTTGGTGAGTGATGTCAAACATCGGGGCCAGCAGACTGTGTTGTTGGTGAGTGATGTCAAACATCGGGGCCAGCAGACTGTATTGTTGGTGAGTAATGTCAAACATCGGGGCCAGCAGACTGTGTTGTTGGTGAGTAATGTCAAACATTGGGCCAGCAGACTGTATTGTTGGTGAGTAATGTCAAACATTGGGCCAGCAGCCTGTGTTGTTGGTGAGTAATGTAAAGTATACACTCCCAGCTGAGGTGACCGGGATAATTTCTCCAGTCAAGTTTCCCTGTACTTCAACTCCAACTTAAAATGTTGAGTATTGTAGTTGTGATTAAATCATTACCATTACTCAGTATTATACAGAGTCAACTATTCCACTAGGTAAAGTATTCCTGAGGTGTAAAGTTTGTGGAATGTGAATGTGATACCGGTAGCTTTTGAGATGAAGAGATGCAGTCCCCCCACTCCAACCATGTTTCCAAACGTAATGTACAGTAACCGACTCAAGAACTCGACCAGAAACTCAATCAAATCCAAGCTATAGTGTTTATTGGGATCAAAACATTTAATAATAGGAGTTAAATGCAGACTTACCACAGGAAACTATATATTATATACAATCTAATTGAGAAATGATATGCAACCAAAATTGTCTACATACTACACTGCCCATCCAAGTCAGACACTTCAATCAGCTAGGAAACTGTTAAGTTCTTTCTTTTTAAGGCACATTTCATAAATCTTTTACATAGACAGAAAATATTTAACTTCAAAATGGTCTAGAATGTATTACAGCACCCATGTGTAGCACCAGTTAAACTGCTGAATGTATAGGGGCTGCGTCTTAAATTGAACCCTATTCCCTATGTAGTGCACTACTTTTGACCAGGGCTCATAGTGCACTATATAGGGAATAGGGTGGCATTTGGGACACATGCTAGACTTCCTTCAATAAGGTGACCTGGGTTATTGACGGCCTGTAAAGTGTTCTGTGCTGATCCGTATTACCGTTAGGTGACTTGGATTTCACAGGGTTGTAACACAATTGGCACACAAAAAAACGTGTTTAAAATACTAATGAAAATATATTGTTCACATCCTAAACTTTGATCACTTTAATTTGAAAACTATAACAGCTAAGGGTTGACAAAGTCAGTTATAATAATAACAATAATATATATATATATATATATATAGGATAATATAATACATGTGTATGATAAATAAACATTCTGTAAGATATATTTGAATTAAAGAAACATCATATATCTAAATATGCAACAAAAAGAACAAAAAAATCACACTATGATAAAATCCATCATCAAGTTTTCAGAGCTGACTGTTATGAATGAGAATATATCAAACTGAGTTTGACTTCTTGATTGGAATGTTAAAACATATATATTATTATATAAACATACACTGTTTTTACACCATTATGACCCGGACTATACTATTCTTACACCATTATGACCCGGACTATACTGTTTTTACACCATTATGACCCGGACTATACTGTTTTTACACCATTATGACCCGGACTATACTGTTTTTACACCATTATGACCCGGACTATACTGTTTTTACACCATTATGACCTGGACTATACTGTTTTTACACCATTATGACCCGGACTATACTGTTTTTACACCATTATGACCCGGACTATACTGTTTTTACACCATTATGACCCGGACTATACTGTTTTTACACCATTATGACCCGGACTATACTATTTTTACACCATTATGACCCGGACTATACTGTTTTTACACCATTATGACCCGGACTATACTGTTTTTACACCATTATGACCCGGACTATACTATTTTTACACCATTATGACCCGGACTATACTGTTTATACACCATTATGACCCGGACTATACTGTTTTTACACCATTATGACCCGGACAATACTGTTTTTACACCATTATGACCCGGACTATACTGTTTTTACACCATTATGACCCGGACTATACTGTTTTTACACCATTATGACCCGGACTATACTGTTTTTACACCATTATGACCCGGACTATACTATTTCTACTCCATTATGACCCGGACAATACTGTTTTTACACCATTATGACCCGGACAATACTGTGTTGGCTGTCACGATCACAAACACTTCTACAGATCTTTGGCTGAAATCCTGACTTGAGACTTGCGAACGTAACTCGAACCTTGATGCTGATCATGACCCGGGTACATACAGTGAGGGAAAAAAGTATTTGATCCCCTGCTGATTTTGTACGTTTGCCCACTGACAAAGACATGATCAGTCTATAATTTTAATGGTAGGTTTATTTGAACAGTGAGAGACAGAATAACAACAAATAAATCCAGAAAAACGTGTCAAAAATGTTATAAATTGATTTGCATTTTAATTAGGGAAATAAGTATTTGACCCCTCTGCAAAACATGACTTAGTACTTGGTGGCAAAACCCTTATTGGCAATCACAGAGGTCAGACGTTTCTTGCAGTTGGCCACCAGGTTTGCACACATCTCAGGAGGGATTTTGTCCCACTCCTCTTTGCAGATCTTCTCCAAGTCAATAAGGTTTCGAGCCTGACGCTTGGCAACTCGAACCTTCAGCTCCCTCCACAGATTTTCTATGGGATTAAGGTCTGGAGACTGGCTAGGCCACTCCAGGACCTTAATGTGCTTCTTCTTGAGCCACTCCTTTTTTGCCTTGGCCGTGTGTTTTGGGTCATTGTCATGCTGGAATACCCATCCACAACCCATTTTCAATGCCCTGGCTGAGGGAAGGAGGTTCTCACCCAAGATTTGACGGTACATGGCCCCGTCCATCGTCCCTTTGATGCGGTGAAGTTGTCCTGTCCCCTTAGCAGAAAAACACCCCCAAAGCATTATGTTTCCACCTCCATGTTTGATGGTGGGGATGGTGTTCTTGGGGTCATAGGCAGCATTCCTCCTCCTCCAAACACGGCGAGTTGAGTTGATGCCAAAGAGCTCGATTTTGGTCTCATCTGACCACAACACTTTCACCCAGTTCTCCTCTGAATCATTCAGATGTTCATTGGCAAACTTCAGACGGGCCTGTATATGTGCTTTCTTGAGCAGGGGGACCTTGCGAGCGCTGCAGGATTTCAGTCCTTCACGGCGTAGTGTGTTACCAATTGTTTTCTTGGTGACTATGGTCCCAGCTGCCTTGAGATCATTGACAAGATCCTCCCGTGTAGTTCTGGGCTGATTCTTCACCGTTCTCATAATCATTGCAACTCCACAAGGTGAGATCTTGCATGGAGCTCCAGACCGAGGGAGATTGACAGTTCTTTTGTGTTTCTTCCATTTGCGAATAATCGCACCAACTGTTGTCACCTTCTCACCAAGCTGCTTGGTGATGGTCTTGTAGCCCATTCCAGCCTTGTGTAGGTCTACAATCTTGTCCCTGACATCCTTGGAGAGCTCTTTGGTCTTGGCCATGGTGGAGAGTTTGGAATCTGATTGATTGATTGCTTCTGTGGACAGGTGTCTTTTATACAGGTAACAAGCTGAGATTAGGAGCACTCCCTTTAAGAGTGTGCTCCTAATGTCAGCTCGTTACCTGTATAAAAGACACCTGGGAGCCAGAAATCTTTCTGATTGAGAGGGGGTCAAATACTTATTTCCCTCATTAAAATGCAAATTAATTTATAACATTTTTGACATGCGTTTTTCTGGATTTGTTTGTTGTTATTCTGTCTCTCACTGTTCAAATAAACCTACCATTAAAATTATAGACTGATCATTTCTTTGTCAGTGGGCAAACGTATGGGGAATAGGGTGTAATTTGAGCCTCACCCATACGTACACTTAACCCGAGGATACCGTCTTCTACAATAAGATTTACAGTATATGACCTCAGTGCTCTGATGATGGGGATAATGATGGTGATGTGTCTGTGGCAGCGTCGTTAAGGCCTTGTTTGAAGAAGCTGCCCTGCTTCTTCAGTCTGTGGATTCTGCAGACAGACACAAACACAGGTTTGGCAAAGGAAGCATGTCATTGGGTGGGCTGTAACTGGTCATGTCATATCTATTTTCCTGGTCCTGTTAGTCACATGGTCAGGAAGAACTCCCTAACTATACTGAAACCAACCAATGGAAATAAGATACTTCTTTGTGTTATCCTAGAATCTTTTATGTTATACTTGACGATTTTTTATGAGTGAATTTCAATTGCATTGGTTTGTGGCTGGATATGATTTATCTTGTCTAATAAATTAAATCAATCAAGTCTGTGTCCACTAGTCTCTCACCTCTCATGCGTCCTGCTGTTCTGATCCTCTTTAGACTTGGTGAAGGTCACAGGGTCACCTCCTTGGACCAGGTGGGCAAACTCCCCGTCACTCTCCGCTCTGAAAATCACCCTGCAGGAGAAGCAAGTCACAATCACCATTATACACTTAAAATCACTCCATTCATCTCAACTCAAGAGAACCAGCGTGGACTGTTGACTAGAGTAGAGTAGAGTACAGTATAGCAGAGTGGAACAGAGTCGAGTCAAGGAAACTTTTCACCCTACTCTACTCTCCTCTGTAGCTCAGCTGGTAGAGCACGGCGCTTGTAACACCAAGATAGTGGGTTTGATCCCCGGGACCACCCATACACAAAAATGTATGCCCGCATGACTGTAAGTCGCTTTGGATAAAAGCGTCTGCTAAATGGCATATTATTATTACTCTACTCTACTCTACTCTACTTTACTCTACTAGAGTTAAGACAATCAAGTAGACCCCTAAGGTAAATTCATAATACAACAGATAGATACGGTAGACTGCAGTAGATAAACATAAGTAGAGGCTCACTTGGACTGGGTCTCCCCTGTCTTGACTCTCATCCTGCGGACCATGAACTCGTGTGAGTTGAAGAAGGAGAAGTAGGAGTCACTGTCCCACCGCAGCATGACTCTCAGCAGCTCTCCCAGGTCTACGTCAGTGGTCAGCAGGAAGGACACAGTGGTGTTGGTGGTCACGTTGGACCTGTGGGGGTTAGCATAGTTAGTAACGCATTTTAAATAAAACAACCAGAACATTTAACGGGGTACTGGGCCAGAAATAGTTATTTGTTTTGCTCTATCATAATCAGCGGTACACAGGAATTACGCACCATTTCACTGTACCATTTCAATAGACAATGTAAAGTAACATTGAAGTAACCTAATGTAAATCGACTGTAAACAAAACAGAAAAGTAACAAGAATACATAACCCAGTGCTAAATTGTAAGAAGTTGAATGTTTAGCAGAGCTGCTTACAGAATGAGTTGGATGTCCTCCTTCTCTCCGTGGGTTCCATACATAGACACTATGACGGGCTGCTCGTTCAGACTCAGGTTCTGCTGGTTGAAGATATGGAACTTCATCTGGTAGTGGAAGACTAGAGGTGGAGGGACAGGACTGCTGTTAGACCTTCATTTGAACTAGTAACAGATTGTTTATGCATCATAAACAAGAAGAAGAAGAAGAAGAAGAAGAAGAAGAAGAAGAAGAAGAAGAAGAAGAAGAACCTAGATACTACAATACGGAACTTTGACGAGCTTTCTCAGTTTGATCTGCATTGTTTAGGAACACACCGCCCAGCTATCAATCAGCTGTCTAACAGATTCACCAACGTTACCCACCTTTGAAGGGCAAACAACAGCTATCAATCAGCTGTGTAGCAGACTAACCAACACACCTTTGAAGGGCATACTGGCGCCGGTCATCAGGTACATCTTGGCGCTCCTGGTGGTGCGTATCCTGTTGACTCCGAAGCCCATGTTGTTGCAGCGGTTCTTACGGCAGCTGAGACACAGGCCCCTGTTGAAGGCGTATTTGGAGTTGCAGCGGTAGGCCATGCTTTGCTGCTGTTTGTTCACCAGCGAGTCGATGAACAGGTGCACAGAACGCTCATGGGCGCACTTCACGATCTGATCCAAGTCTGCAGGGCAGGGCACAGGAGAGGAATAGTTATGTTCACCTTCAGAACACCAGTGCAGAACGAGTTTCCTCTTCCTCCTAATCCTCACACTGTACTGTTGCGTTTGTCCTCACACGAGTGTGGGAAAAAAAACTACAAACTAAAGAACATCCGTGTTACCCAATCCATTTCTCTCGGACGCCCTGCTGTTTTGAACATTCTGTTCTGTTCCAGCATTAGCAAGTTTTATTCAACAAGCAAAGTCTTGATGATGAGTTGGATAGTTGAATCAGATGTTGTAATGCTGGACTACAACAGAAATGTGCAACAGTTACGTCTGAATGTCAATGAAAAACAGATTGGGAAACAATGATGTTCTCTTGTCTGTGTTTTTTGTCCTACACTTGTGTAATGACAAAACAACACTACAGTGTGAATCCAGGGTTGGTCGAGGATGAGGCTAAGTCTTGTAAGTCTACTTAGATACCAGATAGAGAAATCCAATCATTCTACATGCAATTCTATGACTGTAGATATAGTGTGAGGGTTTGTGGGAGTTGGAGTTGGAGTTAAGCCTGGGTCTACTTACTGTAGATGCCTAGTTCTATAGAGCTCCACAGTGGAGGTGTCATAATACCCATAAAACCTAGCGGTCAAACAGGGAAATGGTTCCAATCGTTTTTCCTCCATTCATTTTTCCCATAGGGAATTTTAGAAACACTTAAAATAAGGGCTGTGTTTCATGTAGGCTTACCCTGGCGTGACGTTTTGTTAACCATATGAATCTCTCTCGGACAAGATTTACTCTCAGATTCGAAAATGCTAATTAGCATCAAAGTAGCCATCATGCAAGACTACAAATCCCTGCAAGCTCCTGCACGTCATCTCTAGCTGACACCTTTGCTAACAGGTACTGTGTCAATTTAAAACTTGCACAAGACAGTTCACAGAATTGTCCATTTTAAAAAATGTAGCCAATTTATTCATTCATTTAGCTAACATTAGATCGTTAATCCAGAGATTCTTACCTTTGCCTCGATTTCAGCAGTCTCGTCCAGATCATCATGGCATTTGTAGTTCTTTATGATAGCCACATTAGCAGCTCTTTAGCATTTCATTTTGGGGGGTAAATACAGGCAAATGTATTGATAAAAGTCACCTTGTCCTAGAGAGACTTACACGGTTATGAAAACGTCACACCCTATGGGGAAAATCCCCTATGGGAAAAATGAATGGTGGAAAAACGATTGAAACCATTTCCTTGTTTGACCGCTATCTTTTATGGGTATTATGACTCATACTGTGGTACTCTATTGAACTACAGTGTGAGGGTTTGTGGGAGTTGGAGTTAAGCCTGGGTCTACTCACTGCGGAGGCCAAAGTTTCTCATCATGTCTATGGTGTGCCGGAAGGAGCAGCCTGGCTGCGCTGTTCCTCCGTTGGGGTAGATGTCCACGTGGCCCACGGGTCTCTGGATACCAATACTGAGATCTGGAGACCCCCTGGTGTTGGTGTGGAGGACATCCACGAATTTTGCATCGTCAGGAGACAGGCGGTTTGTGTGCTCTGCGTACTCGAAGCTAGGCCCAGCCGGATCCAGGCCTGAAAGAATGAGCAGGACAGGGAGAGGGACATTAGGGACTGGGCGTTAGAGAACTGGAATCTTACAGTATCCTCCAGTGGTATAACTACTATAATCTGCTCTGTTGTTAATAGTTAGTAACTACTGCATACATTCAGAACACTGTCAGCCTGCTGTTATTGTGTCAGTCTGCCATGATGTATTAGAACACATGGTTCAAGTTACAAGCCTTTTGAGTGTTATGCAGCAGTCTTTTGGGGTGTTATAAATAGTCCTTTTGGGGTGTTATAAATAGTATTTTTGGGTGTAATGCAATAGTCATTTTGGGTGTTATACAGTAGTCTTTTTGGGTGTTATACAGTAGTCTTTTGGGGTGTTATAAATAGTCATGTTGTGTGTTAGAAATAGTCATTTTGGGTGTTATGCAGTTGTCTTTTTCGGGTGTTATAAATAGTCATTTTGGGTGTTATAAATAGTCATTTGGGGTGTTATACAGTAGTCTTTTTGGGTGTTATACAGTGGTCCTTTTGGGGTGTTATACAGTAGTATTTTTGGGGTGTTGTAAATAGTCATTTTGGGTGTTATAAGTAGTCCTTTTGGGGTGTTATAAATAGTATTTTTGGAGTGTTATAAATAGTCATTTTCTTTGTTATAAATAGTCATTTTGGGTGTTTTACAGTAGTCTTTTTGGGTGTCACAGATAGTTATTTTGGGTGTTATGCGGTAGTCATTTTGGGTGTTATAAATAGTCCTTTTGGGTGTTATACAGTAGTCTTTTGGGGTGTTATTAATAGTCATTTTTGGTGTTATAAATAGTCATTTTAAATTTCTACAAGTTCTCACTGATAAAAAGAACATGTGTAACATGAGTCTTTACCTCCTCAAACTGAACTCAACCTGAACTTAGTTACGTATACACCCTTTTTGGAGTGGGACCTCTGAAAGGTCGATCCAGCGTTTTTAAGGCCGAAAGGCATTGCCTTAAACTGATACAGGTCAAATAAGGAGTGGTTGCTGCCTTGGTTTCGGCCCTGGACCTAACCGTTATGTTATCTAAGGTGGGTGTGGCATGCTTAGTTATACAAATAAGTTGAGATGGATGCGAAGGGCAAAGAAAATACAGCGGTAGCCAATCCTTCGGGCCTGTATCAGTTTAAAGCCATTACCCAAAGCCTTTTGGCCTGTATCAGTTTAAAGCCATTGCCCAAAGCCTTTTGGCCTGTATCAGTTTAAAGCCATTACCCAAAGCCTTTTGGCCTGTATCAGTTTAAAGCCATTACCCAAAGCCTTTTGGCCTGTATCAGTTTAAAGCCATTACCCAAAGCCTTTTGGCCTGTATCAGTTTAAAGCCATTACCCAAAGCCTTTTGGCCTGTATCAGTTTAAAGCCATTACCCAAATCCTTTTGGCCTGTATCAGTTTAAAGCCATTACCCAAAGCCTTTTGGCCTTAAGAAGGCTGGAGTGACCTTTCAAATGGGCTGATGGAGGGAGTTCTTGGGGAACTGTGAGATGTCACCTTTTTTTTGTCTATATAGATGACATCATCGTCTACTCCCCCAACAAGTCTCAATACTGTCTTCAGCAAACTCCATGATGCCAACTGGTTTCAAAAACCCAGCTGTGCACCTTCTCACTAGGGCTAGGCAATCTCACTCACTCTAAATAGAAGAAGGGAGGGGCAATGAGATGGGAGTTTACTTAAGCAGTGTTTGACTGACCAAAGTGGGGTGACAGCAAATTGATAGGCAACAACCACTTGAACTGCTATAGGGATGCAAGGGAAATACCAAACAGAATTAAGGGCAAACGTGTATATCTTAGGTTTAGAACAGAGCCTAATGACACAGCAGTGATTAGGTTGATTTCCAGATGGACAGACACCACACGAGGTCTGGGTCCTACTCAGAGCCATATATTTCTCTGTTATATATATATTTTTGGTCCTTCCCACCAGTGATATTGCTCTATTATCTGGCTCTGGTCTGATATTACCTATTATCTGGCTCTGGTCTGATATTACCTATTATCTGGCTCTGGTCTGATATTACCTATTATCTGGCTCTGGTCTGATATTACCTATTATCTGGCTCTGGTCTGATATTACCTATTATCTGGCTCTGGTCTGATATTGCTCTATTATCTGGCTCTGGTCTAGTCCTTCCCACCCGTGATATTGCTATATTATCTGGCTCTGGTCTGATATTACCTATTATCTGGCTCTGGTCTAGTCCTTCCCACCCGTGATATTGCTCTATTATCTGGCTCTGGTCTGATATTGCTCTATTATCTGGCTCTGGTCTAGTCCTTCCCACCCGTGATATTGCTCTATTATCTGGCTCTGGTCTGATATTACCTATTATCTGGCTCTGGTCTAGTCCTTCCCACCCGTGATATTGCTCTATTATCTGGCTCTGGTCTGATATTGCTCTATTATCTGGCTCTGGTCTGGTCCTACCCACCAGCAGGTCCCTGAGTAGCAGAGTTGAGGTGGATTGACAGATGGTTATATGTCTCTATGGTCCTACAGAAACCTGCTCCTACAGGCACCATCCGAGGGATGAGAGCATCTAGTCCTACCCACCAGTGATCCTGTTGACCTTGTTGTTGGTCAGGTTTCCAGCTATGCCAGCCACGTGTGCTCCCAGGCTGTAACCCAGCAGGTGGAGGTTCATCAGGTCATACTTCAGATCCACCTGAGGGGAGGCATCATTTAGTTTTAACAGATGATTGGTGCATTTCAGATCCACATAAATAACTGCACATTTAAGTAAGACGTTTAAGTAAGAGAACACATGGATTATGGTTCTGGAATTATCAGTGTGGTAGAACAGTCGACTATCACATTAAACTGCATCGATCTCCATTGCTAATTCTAACTCTCTCTCTCTCTCTCTCTCTCTCTCTCTCTCTCTCTCTCTCTCTCGCTCTCTCTCTTTCTCTCGGCTAAAATTAAGATCCTACATCTGTATATAAATCCAGGGCGGTATGGAAAAATTAAATAGTGGGGGGTACTCCGTACCGGTAAAACATGAGCCTATTACATTTTAGTCATTTAGCAGACGCTCTTATCCAGAGGGACTTACAGTTAAGTGAGCGCATACATTTTCATACTGGCCCCCCGTGGGAATCGAACCCACAACCCTGGCGTTGCAAACGCCATGCTCTACCAACTGAGTTACATCCCTGCCGGCCATTCCCTCCCCTACCCTCGACGACGCTGGCTAATTGTGCGTCGCCCCATGGGTCTCCCGGTCTCGGCCGGCTACGACAGAGTCTGGATTCGAACCAGGATCTCTAGTGGCACAGCTAGCACTGCAATGCAGCGCCTTAGACCACTGCGCCACTCGGGAGACTCAACGGGCGGTATAGCCTACGCTCCAAAATGCGATGTGGTTCGTCGAGAACGCCGCAATTTTGCCAAGGTAGAGATGAGTGGCCGACACCGAGACACGCGCGGACAGCAGTGGACGCATAAATTCTGGCCAAATGTCATTACACCTTTTTGGCATTTTGTGTAAAAGATGTCTCTTTCCATTCACCACTGTTCGGAGGCTGGAAATATGTTGTGCATGGATGAAAGGGCGCTGGTACGCCTATTAAATGATCCCTTTGAAGTGACTGTTTGACAATCAGATGAATTCCCCAGGACTGGTTGTGTTTCTGCCACAATAAAAGGTAACATATTTTAAAAGTTAAATTACAACTCTTTAGACTAGTCCCACAGTGATTCTATTGAATTAATAGGGATTATATCATTACAGGAAGAAATTACATCTACTTTCGCCCTTGTAAAAATCCAATACATTATCATTATAGTAGCGTACCATAATGCATCATGATCAAACCCTCACCTCCAGCCAGTTGATGAGCCTGGCCACATCCTCTCCAACCAGCTTGGTGTGAGCCGCAGAGTTGGGGTAGTGGTGCTGGGCCCGGTCCAGCCAGTCCACCACTATAACGTTGGCATTGGTCACGCGCTCAAACAGGGCTGCTACCAGCTTGTAGATCCAGCTCTCAAACAAACCTGCCACCTAGAACACAGGACAGGAAGATACATGTGTATTAGGGATGACTTACAGGGTAGTTAACTCTGGGCAAACCTCAAAGACACACTATTCCCTATGTAGTGAACTACTAACCAGACCCTATGTAATGAACTACTAACCAGACCCTATGTAGTGAACTACTAACCAGACTCTATGTAGTGCCCTACTAACCAGACCCTATGTAGTGAACTACTAACCAGACCCTATGTAGTGAACTACTAACCAGACCCTATGTAGTGCCCTACTAAACAGACCCTATACAGTAGGGCACTACATTAATGCTCCTGCTTAGGTAGACCTGGACCTGGTGATGTCATTGTTGTGGCATAGGCCCATGTTGCTGTAGGACATATGTGGTGTGTGTTGTGGTATGTTGATGTGAAGTTGCAGTGTGGAGTATTGTCCTCCGTGGTGTATTGCTGTGAAGTTGGTATGTCCTTCCTGCCTAGTATTATATCTCCCGTGTGCCCAAAGTAATTGCCCTTCTGGGATAAATAAATTAAATGTGTTAAATTGAATTGGCAGAGCCTGAGGGATTCCCATTATGGTAAAGCACATTTTGCATTCAGTCATCATCAGCAGGCTGTAACATCTATCAGCCAGCACTGGGATCAGTAGGAGTGACAGTGAACGGAGGAAGACTCTACTCTATAGTGGCTTCTCAAACAGATCTGGGACCAGACTACACTCCTGTTAACCCAGGTGATCTGGGACCAGACTACACTCCTGTTACCCAGGTGATCTGGGACCAGACTACACTCCTGTTACCCAGGTGATCTGGGACCAGACTACACTCCTGTTACCCAGGTGATCTGGGACCAGACTACACTCCTGTTACCCAGGTGATCTGGGACCAGACTACACTCCTGTTACCCAGGTGATCTGGGACCAGACTACACTCCTGTTACCCAGGTGATCTGGGACCAGACTACACTCCTGTTACCCAGGTGATCTGGGACCAGACTACACTCCTGTTACCCAGGTGATCTGGGACCAGACTACACTCCTGTTACCCAGGTGATCTGGGACCAGACTACACTCCTGTTACCCAGGTGATCTGGGACCAGACTACACTCCTGTTACCCAGGTGATCTGAGAACAGACTACAATCCTGTTATCCAGGTGATCTGAGACCTGGAGACTTACAAATTGGTTTATAGACAGTGGGGGGTTGGGGGAGAGGGGGGGGGGGGGGGGGGTAGAAGGATTACTGTTATACTATTCCAGGTATTCCTGGAATCCAGGTGATCCGAGACCAGACTACGCTCCTGTTATCCAGGTAGCTACTTACCGACCAGCCGTGTATGATGACGAATGTGGGTAAGCTGGTGTCGAAGCCACACTGTGTGGCTGTATCCTTTTTCCCTGGCACCAGGTAACACAGATCCTCCTCTGGCTCCTTGGCTGAACGCACTGAGAACTTGGTCTCTATGTCAGTGTAGTCCAGTAACCAGTCTGTACTGTTGCCTGGAGGGACAGAGGGCGAGATTAAAGACACGGACCCACTTTGCATCAAGTGTTGCTAAAACATTTACTACATGGTATTTAATGACCTATTATGCTGGCAGGGACAGTAACTGTGATCAGTGTGATAGAAGGAGTCAGGCGCAGGAGGGTAAATCACTGTACACAATTGCGCTGGATAGCGACAACAGAAAACAGGGGAAACCATCTACCCTGGCAATACAAGGTACGAGTAGCTCCACCAAGCTACACTACTCTCACAAATAAACAATCACCCACAAGGACAAGGGGGGCAGAGGGAACACTTAATCACGGACTAATGAGGGGATATGAACCAGTTGTGTGTAATTGACAAGACAAGACAAATGGAATGATGAGATATGGAGCGGCAGTGGCTAGAAGGCCGGTGACGACGAACGCCGAAGCCTGCCCGAACAAAGAGGGGAGGCAGCCTCGGCGGAAGTCGTGACAATAACAGTATAGGCACAGATGTTTATAATACATAAAGTGGAACCTAGGTTCAAAGACTCCGGTGCATAATGCATATTCTCATGGGTTCAAAAGCACCAAGAGGTCCTTAGGGTTGTTGAGGTTCAACCAGAGAGAACTAGTCATTCCTCTCTCTGATTGCTAAATTATAAAATCATCCCAAACCTCATCATTTACAATATTTTGTTAAAGTTTAAAAACGTAATCTGCTACATTTTTTAAATAGTAATATGCATACACAAAATATAGTTACAATGTGCAGGGTTCATGTAAATTTGAATGTGTCATGATTTGGTGAAATCTCTTCTAGCCCACATTTCCAGGTGATCTGGGACCAGACTACACTCATCTTATCCTAATAGAACCCCAGCTGGTTGGGGGAGTTTTTGTTCCTCCGAACAATGAACTGTCTGTCTGTCAGAGCTCAGAACAGGTTCATGGAGCTGCCGTCATGGAAACTGCCTCAGCCAATGCTAACTTTCATTCATTCCCACGGCACAAAGGTTCCAATTGTTTAAAAAAAAACACCGCACTTTTATCAACAGCATTTTGCCTATTATATAATCTGCTTTCAAAACATAATGTATTTATTTTTGTATAATGTTTGCATTCAGAATAATGCATGAATTGATTTGTGAGAATAAAATAATCGTCCAACTTACTGTGAGCAGGAGTTTCAGTGTTGAAGACAGACTCACATGACGACTTGATGATACAAATCCCAATTATAATCAACCAGGTGATTTCTTTTCCCATAGTACAGTCGATTCAATTTAATTAAAGAACTTTCCAAATGAAAACGAAAATTGTTTGTCACTTTAATCCGCCAGAATGTATTTTTCCGCTTGTAAAACTCTATTTTTTTGTAAAGTTGTCCAACTTCGCAATATGATCTTCACTTGAACTTGAAGGTTTCAAATGGTGTATTTATACCGGCCCTGTCGACGCATGTAAATCCAACCCTATTTCTATTGGTCTAAAACATGGGCAAGGAGTGGACAACCTTCCCAAATGGGGACAATGTCAGCAAATCACATGTCTGCTGCAGGACTACAGTTCTTTTCCGAGTACTCACCTGGTATGGTACACTGACTGCGTATAAAAATACATACACACACACACACACATACACACACACACACACACACACACACACACACACACACACACACACACACACACACACACACACACACACACACACACACACACACGCACACACAGTAGGCATGCATAAACTATATATACAAAAGTATGGGGACACCCCTTCAAATTTGTGGATTCGGCTATTTCAGCCACACACGTTGCTGGCAGGTGTATAAAATCGAGCACACAGCCATGCAATCTCCATAGACAAACATTGGCCGTAGAATGGTCCGTACTGAAGTGCTCAGTGGCTTTCAACGTGGCACCGTCACAGGATGCCACCTTTCCAGCAAGTCAGTTTGTAAAATGTCTGCCCTGCTAGAGCTGCCCCGGTCAACTGTAAGTGCTGTTATTGTGAAGTGGAACGTCAACACAAGAACTGTTCCTCGGGAGCTTCAAGAAATGGGTTTCCATGGCAGAGTAGCAGCACACAAGCCTAAGATCACCATGCGCAACACCAAGCGTTGGTTGGAGTGGTGTAAAGCTCGCCGTCATTAGACTCTGGAGCAGTGGAAACGCATCCTCTGGAGTGATGAATCACGCTTCACCATCTGGCAGTCCGATGGACTAATCTGGGTTTGGCGGATGCCAGGAGAACGCTGCCTGCCCCAATGCATAGTACCAACTGTAAAGTTTGGTGGAGGAGGAATAATGGTCTGGGGCTGTTTTTCATGGTTCAGGCTAGTCCCCTTAGTTCCAGTGAAGGGAAATATTAATGCTACAGCATACAATGACATTCTAGACGATTCTGTGCTTCCAACTTTGTGGCAACAGTTTGCGGAAGACCCTTTCCTGTTTCAGCATGACAATGCCCCCGTGCACAAAGCGAGGTCCATACAGAAATGGTTTGTCGAGATCGGTGTGGAAGAACTTGACTGGCCTGCACAGAGCCCTGACCTCAACCCTGTTGAACACCTTTGGGATCAATTGGAACGTCTACTGCGAGCCAGACCTAATCGCCCAACATCAGTGCCCGACCTCACTAATGCTCTTGTGGCTGAATGGAAGCAAGTCCCCGCAGCAATGTTCCAACATCTAGTGGAAAGCCTTCCCAGAAGAGTGGTGGCTGTTATAGCAACAAAGGGAGGACCAACTCCATATTAATGCCCATGATTTTAGAATGAGATGTTTGACGAGCAGGTGTCCGCATACTTTTGGTCATGTAGTGTACATCACCTTTAGCTTATATAGACCATTTGCTGTTGTAGTAAATATTAGTAATGGCTAATATTCTATGCATTGTAGAATTACTCACTTTAGCAGACAGCAACCTATATTATTGTAATAATATGTCCAAAAAAATACACAATTGTGATATAAGACTATATTGATAATTAGTATAATAAATCATTCAATGTTAGGCTATCCACCCATTTCTAGTTCAATCCCCATGCCCCCATCTCAGACAATCTGATAAGCTGCCCTTTTTTAGTTCAATCCCCATGCCCCCATCTCAGACAGTTTGATATGCTGCCCTTTTTTAGTTCAATCCCCATGCCCCCATCTCAGACAATCTGATAAGCTGCCAATGCCTGTTCTCTTGTCAAGAACACACCATTCACATTTAGCGTGCTTCTGCTGTTAATGACATTTGACACATTTATTTGTTCCATGTTGTGAGGTTTGTCACTGATGTTGCTGATGTCCCATGTCTCAATAACTGTACTAATTATCGTTAATCACAGGCACCAATTAAACATCAAATAGACCTGTTTCACTTAGGCAAGTATAAGCCTGTAATAAATGACAACGTAATTTATCAATGCGAGTTAATATAATCCCAAGGGCTGTAAAAAAAAAAGCTTAGCAGTAGCAAACGTTGTGTCTAAAAATAACAATTTTGAAATATGTTGAAATATAGTTCCTGACAATTTCTCCATTCTTATATGCAACCATCGCACTTGCAAGACCCATGAAATACCAGACAGAAAGTTGTGCTCACTGTGCATTTCACAATAATATCATCATGCCATAGAAATCTGTTTGAATAGAATATAAAATAATAGAATACAATACAATACGTTTATTTCTCCCGGAGGGAACTTCAGTTGTGGCAAGTGGGATAAGATATGTACATGAATACAGGACTGTCTTCAGTTTATCCTTATTGGATTTGACAGGTTGTGAAGACTCAGTAATGATAATATAGGGGTGTTTTTAAAGGCTTTTAGGTCAGGAACTATTAAATCAGATTTGTTCAATGACCTTCAACGTGACCTGGTGGAACATTCCTTGAAACGCCTCCAAATTGACCAATGACGCCAAAGACCCAGAAGCCTCCCAGCACACCCTATTGACGCAATAACCACAAATCAAAAGGGGCTTCAGGTGGGGAATCACTTATAGTATTATCTATGAAACTCGTTCATCTTTGATGTTTTCCCATGTTGTTACGAGTTACAGTGTAACACCAGAACCAGACAGGAAATGGTACATGTTTTTTCACCATGTTGTTAAGAGTTCACCTGAGAACAGTTGCTGTTTTGCGCATTCATGTGTATTCTAAGCATTATCCAGAAATGAGAATTACACCAAAGATGAAAGCCGTTGTCTGAGGACGGAGCTGGACCATGTGACATAAAGAAAAGGGGACAGTTTGAAAAAAAAAGTTCAAATCCAGGCATGTCAAATCAAATCAAATCAAATGTTCTTTGTCACATGCTTTCGTAAACAACAGGTGTAGACTAACAGTGAAATGCTTACTTACGGGCCCTTCCCAGTTACCAGCCTCAGAAATTGCAGCCCAAATAAATGTTTCACAGAGTTCAAGTAACAGACACCTCTCAACATCAACTGTTCAGAGGGGACTGTGTGAATCAGGCCTTCATGGACGAATTGCTGCAAAGAAACCATTACTAAAGGACACCAATAAGAAGAAGAGACTTCCTTGGGCCAAGAAACATGAGCAATGGACATTAGACCAGTGGAAATTTGTCCTTTAGGCTGGAGTCCAAATGTGAGACGGATGATCTCTGCATGTGTATTTCCCACTGTAAAGCATGGAGGAGGAGGTATTATGGTGTGGGGGTGCTTTGCTGGTGACACTGTCTGTGATTTATTTAGAATTCAATGCACACTTAACCAGAATGGCTACCACAGCATTCTGCAGCAATACGCCATCCCATCTGGTTTGGGCTTAGAGGGACTATCATTTGTTTTTCAACAGAACAATGACCCAACACACCTCCAGGCTGTGTAAGTGCTATTTTACCAAGAAGGAGAGTGATGGAGGACTGCATCAGATGACCTGGCCTCCACAATCACACGACCTCAACCAAATTGAGATGAGTAGGTGTGTCCAAACTTTGGACTGGTACTGTATATACAAAAGTATGTGGACACCCCTTCAAATGAGTGGATTCAGTTATTTCAGCCACACCTGTTGCTGACAGCTGTATAAAATCGAGCACCCAGCCATGCAATCTCCTTGGAAAAACATTGGCAGTAGAATGGCCTTACTGAAGAGCTCAGTGACTTTCAACGTGGCACCGTCATAGGATGCCACCTTTCCAACAAGTCAGTGGCTGAATGGACGATGAGCAGGTGTCCACATACTTCTGGTCATGTAGTGTAGTTTGCAAGCCCTGCCAAATCCAACGAGCGTCATAGCTTGGTCCTTTTATTGACGCTTTGGCTGTTTGAGCACGTCATTGGTACTTCCTGTTTGAGTTTTTGCTTGTAAGCAGGAATCAGGAGGATAGAGTTATGGTCAGATTTGCCAAATGGAGGGCGAGGGAGAGCTTTGTGTGTGTCTCTGTGTGTGGAGTAAAGATGACCTAGAGTTGTTCGCCTCTAGTTGCTGGTAGAAATTAGTTAAAACATATTTCAGTTTTCCTGCATTAAAGTCACCTGCCACTAGGAGTGCCACATTTTCTTGTTTGCTTATGGCCCTATACAGCTCGTTGCCAAGATAATCCATCCACCTGACAGGTGTGGCATATCAAGAAGCTTATTAAACAGCATGATCATTACACAGGTGCACCTTGTGCTGGGGACAATAAAAGGCCACTCGAAAATGTGCAGTTTTGTCGCACAACACAATTCCACAGATGTCTCAAGTTTAGAGGGAACGTGCAATTGGCATGCTTGACTGCAGGAATGTCCACCAGAGCTGTTGCCAGATAATTGAATGTTAATTTCTCTACCATAAGCCGCCTCCAATGTCATTTTAGAGAATTTGGCAGTACGTCCAACCTGTCTCACAACTGCAGACCAGGTGTAACCACGGCAGCCCAGGACCTCCACATCCAGCTTCTTCACCTACAGGATCGTCTGAGACCAGCCACCTGGACAGCTGATGAAACTGAGGAGTATTTCTGTCTGTAATAAAGCCCTTTTGTGGAAAAACTAATTCTGATTGGCTGGGCCTGGCTCCCCAGTGGGTGGGCCTGGCTCCCAAGTGGGTGTGCCTATGTCCTCCCAGGCCTGCCCATGGCTGCACCCCTGCCCAGTCATGTGTAATCCATAGATTAGGGCCTAATGAATTCATTTCAATAGACTGATTTCTTTATATGAACTGTAACTCAGTAAAATCATTGAAATTGTTGCATGTTGCGTTTATATTTTTGTTAATTATAAATTAGACAAAACCTGGACAGTACATCCAGTTG